CTACTTTTTAATATCTTCCGTTCTATAATATATTTTTTTAACATCCCGACACACCCTGATCAGCCTAAGGAGAAAGCGCGCTTGTAAATCGCCGTAATATCATCTTTTTAATACGTTTATATATATATATATATATATATATATATATATATATATATAATCGTGTGTGTGTGTAAGTTCGAATGTTAATATTAGTGGATACTCGTATTTAAGATAGACGCCCCAATTTTTATTTTTATTTTGAACAGTGTGCATTGCGCCTAGCAGCCTGCGTATTCGAAAAATCTTCTTAAAGAGCATGGACTTTCCGACAGACATCGAATCTCTCCCCCCTCCCCCACGTTTGTAGGAGAAACCACCGTTTGATCCGGTGTGCTTTACGGTTCGGCTATGAGAATTGAATCACAGACCAGCAAGATCATATTTACCCTATTTAAGGAAAGCACATTCTCTTCACTCCTATTATTTTGTCCCCAGAACCCATTTCTTCTCGGTTTTCTATCCGAAACCTAAACGAAACAATTTCTCATGGATTTTATTTTTAATCCACCAATTTTATTACTTCAGACGCTCTTATTAGTGGATACTCGAATTTAAAATAAACGCCCCATTTTCATTTGTACTTCGAATGGTGTGGATTACGTCTATCGGTCTGCGTGTTCGAGAAATGCTAATAAATACAATGCGATCTGATCAGTAGAATAGGATTTTACGCATCTCAAATTCCAATTACCTCATGACTTTCGACTGGACTGCCTTTGTTTTGCTAGGACTGTTCCACCTCTAGTGGTCTACCTTGGTGATATCAGTGTCCGTTTGTTTTTGTTTTTTGTTTTTTTTTTGTTTTGTTTTGTTTTGTTTTTTTTTTCTGAAACTGAACGACTAGTGGATCATAAAACATATCATTATACGAAAAAGCTAAAGCTGTACAAAAACAGAAAACTGTCCTGAGACTTGGAAATTATCTACGTATGGCGATGTCCTCTCTAATGAACAAGCGACTCTTTGTCGTGTGTTATATTTACATTCATGGCAAATGTGTGAATCAGCTTCATTCTATAGTTCCACCAACTTAAACCTTTATTGCTTGGACAGGACATGCTACTTCAACGGAAGCGAATACCCTCATCCCTTCCCTGCTCCAATTGTAAAGAGGAAGTTCCACTCAGCTTTCCCCCACCCCTCCAAGAACTGCTACTTTGTAGAACAGACTTTCGCATGGATGCTCACCTGAACAATAGAATCTGAATATCTTCAAGTCAAGGGTCAATCAATATCTATAATGTTCACTTCCTACCGCCACTCTTTCAGGTCAGCACTCTTTTTTTTTTTTTTATAATGAAATTTTCCTGTTACTTAATACTTTGGTGAACTTTTAGAAGGCATCTTTATATTTGTAATGTAAATTATTTTACAGGGTATTCCACAAAAAAAAAAAAAACAGGAAACTGGTACAGTTTATTTAATTATTGGAATTTTTGTTACAGTTATTCGAAACAAAAGCGCAGGATAGAAATTTACTAGCTTAGAACAAAACCAAAATAAAAATGTCAGATGTAGTATTCAAATTAAAGAACTCAAAATTTCAGTCCTCAAATTTGCTTGTTCCTTCTTAAAAAGAACAATCACCTCGCGTTGCAAATTTGATAACTGCGCCATCCTAAAACAACAAATGGTTAAAAAAAATTAGATTTTAGTTAATTTTTTCAGTTCATTTATATAGTAAAATATATAGTTATTTTTTTTAATATGATAGTTACTTTTTTTCATCGAATATTTGTTATAGCATACCTACGGACGATACTAGGCATGTCCCCATTCACATAAATACAGTAGTAAATACTGTATGTTTGTCTGCAGTTGGAGATTCGTTTCCAGCTGTGTTGGTCAAAATCTCTGCCTCCGGGCAGAGAGGACCCCCAGACGATGCTATGTCGAAGGGCAGAGTCTCGTCTCGAGAAACAGCTACCCGGCCCCGTTTTATACGGTGTCTACGGGGAATTTTTGGCTGAGCCTACGGGCTCGGATAGCCAGCATTAAATTCGGCCTTGTCTCACATCTGACCGCGTGGGGTGGTTGGTAGATATCCTATAGTTGGAGATTCATCGTGGAATTCACTTGACTCACTTCTAGCAACAGTTGGCTACTTCTCCTTCGCACCGCTGGCGAATCTTATATGTGTTGTTCTTGTCCTAAGTATTATCATTCATTACAAACCAGCGTTTCATTATTTTATTTAGCAACCTTCCCTAGGTTACAATAATAGTAAATCTAAAATTTCCTGTTTTCTGTGGGGCACACTGTAGTATCATTAGGTGACAGATTATTTTCGTGTACATATTTAATAATATCGGGTAAAATATTCAATGTTATCGAGCAAAATATACATAAACACCTAAGCAGTAATATATATCTATATATAACAAATGCGAAAGTCAGTGTGTTACACTTTCCAACTTTTCTCCTAGACGCCGTAGCCCAACATATACCATTTTTGAATCAGGCTGACTCTGTGAGCAAATGAAAAAGATTTCGGGCTAGAATCCGGACCCGCAATCCTAAAATTTGGGATTGCCAAGTTTTCATTACT